GGCAAGCTTCAAGCATGCGCTTATATTAAATGCCATTTCCAGATAATAACCTTGGCTGGTTGCTTTTGGCAGCTTCTACTATTTTCCCTGTGGCCTTAAAAAGAAAAATTAAAGAAGTGCCTAACTTGGTGAGGAGATCAGTTCTCTATTACACACATTTTATGGCAGCTTATTTAGGTAGCCAAGTTTTTTTGGTTGTTGTGACTGAGTACATTTAGATGCTCTGCCTGGAGGTGGGGACTGGAGGAACAGGAATGCCTTGATCGGCACTCAGAAGCCTTCGTGTCCTGTCAGTCATCTGAGCTGGTTTCTGAAGGAAAACACTAGGGACAGATCTATTTTGTTCCTAGCCGTTGTTTAGATATTCCAAACATCTTCTAATTACTTCCACTTGTAATTCCCATTCCAGTGACATCAGTCTGGTTTAGAGAAAAAAAGGGAAGTTGGAGTAAGGCTGATCAGAGGAAATACCAAACTAAGCACGTGAAGTTTGGTAGGGCTAAGCTTCAGTGTCCTTCTCATGCTCACTTTGAAAGTCAAACGCTGCCTCCTGGAAATTTCCTGTGTAGTTTTATAAAATGCAGGTTGCTGTTGCTGCCCCAAAAACTGTTTTGCAATGTAAACTGAAAGCAGCTTCTTTGTTCATCCTGTCCTTTGCTGATGATCAAGTGACCCTTGCTGCCTATACTTTGCAAATGTATTTGGAAGGAAAAGACGAGTTTCATCTCTGAGTGTATAAGGCATAGGGCAGATTTTCACCCTCCTTCAAACGGTGCTGGCAATCTGGAAGACAAACTTACGAAAAAAGCAGATCACCTACCACTGACTGTACCTAAGAAATCTCCTGCTGTGGTTGGAAACCTTTTGCCCTTGTGCATAAACCTAGTAGCACCATAAATATTATATATCTAGCCCAACTTGATACATTACTTCAAAGGTGAAGTAGATTGAGCTATTGCTTTGTACAAATACTTCATCATAAAATGAACAATTCAGAGAATGTATGAAAGGACAGAGATAACTCAAATGTACCTCATTGCTTTTATTTAGATTGATACATATTAGCAGGCCAATGGGGAAATGTGCGCAGATAAATATTTTTAAAAATTTTTAAAGAAAATACTATAAGTTCTTGTAACTGAAACCTTCAACAAACAATCTGGTTTGTATTCTCAGTATTCTTTTGGGTATGATGCTGTTATTGAGAAGTTTGGGGAGTATTCAGTAATACTTTACATTTTTTTCCTTGCCTTAAATGGATGAATTAGTGTAAAGAGATTTCCAGTTGGTTTTGAATGTGGCAGCTTCAGGCAGGAGGCTCATATATCACAATGTCAAAAAAAAGTCTTCTCTGCGTTTTATAACATTTTCCCACAGTAAAGCAAATGTTTAGGAATAACACCAATTAAGAGACACATTTTTGGTTTACTAGAACCGATCAACAGCCTGTATTGTCAGCTCTCCAATCCTCAACTTTCCAGCACTGACTGCCTCAGAGAAAGGTGAAAGCATACCCTTAATGCCTCTGAATTTGCAACAGTGCACTGCTGAGCCCGAAGTCTTCCCGGCTATACGCAGTGAGCATCCTAGTTGGCAAACCAGGAGGAGTCTGAGCTCCTGAAGATTTTGACTTAGCTACTGCTATGTGGTATAATTGAAACGTATATGTTAGCAAGCTAAATTGCCCACCCTAGTATATTCTATTTGTAGAAGAGGTTGCAAAATGAAACAAAATTTTTTCAATTTCAAACTTGCTTTAATTTCAAAGGGATCAGGCAGGACCTAATTTTTGTTCTTGAATCTTGTTAGTTTTCCAGTATTAAATCACTGAAATTACTGAGTTTATTCCAATACCTGAAAAGTACTTTGGATTGCTTATATATTAAAAACTTTTTGATGATAATCTCAGGTGGTAAAAGATACTAAATTTTTCATGCAAGATAGAAGGTGTTTCTAGTGTAAAAAATTATTTTCAGATTATTTTTTAAAGGGCTGTTTTTCAACCAACCCACTCCATACCTAAATCATGTGCCAGCTGTTGGCATCTGCACAATAATTACTACAACAAAAGTTTTGAGCAGAAAGACCCTAACTAGTACTCTAAGGAGTTGAACATAAGCTGTGTGACAAGCAAAAAGAAAGTGGAAATTTAATGATACTCATAGAACTGTCTGAGGAAATTTAAAGATGCATAAAATATTTTGAAGCTGTGTTTTATAATAAGGCAGGAAATTATTGGGATGATGTTTGCATGGTCTCTTTCCCCCTGCTAAACACCCACAAAGGACTGAAAGCACCAAATAAGTTAGGAGTTCTCTAGAGGAGACCATTCTTTGATCTGGATGAACTACATGGCTACGGTTATCTTCTGTCCTCTGGCATCCACAGCACACCTAGACAGCCTTGGCAAGCTGCTGAGCAGAAGATAAGGACACAGTGGTTGTGATCAGCTACTAATAGAGAAGGAGAGGGCACTCAGACTCCTTTGCTGAGGTTTGGTATGAGCTGAGAGAGCTTCTTTTCACTCGGGCACCTGGGAAGTCCTGACTGGGGAGGTATCCCTCGGCAGGGCAGCTGCGCTGCCCTCACTCAGCACCTCAGGTACTGAATATCTCTCACAGTTGTAAAATCTGTTATCTGCATTGCAGATGAAATTGTTTAGCTTTGAATCAGAGTCAGCGTCTTCAGCACAAATGTGCCTAATTTTGACCACAAAGATCCCAGAGAAGGTTTAACCTACAGCCTGCAGAATAGATCTGTGCCTCTTGTGCCTTGGGAGGTCAAACAAAGTTTCACCGAGTTCATTGCTGGAGATGAACTTTGAGGGAAAGGTGGCCGAGGAGTTAATACCTCCATAACATCAGTGCTATCCAGAATCCTCCGACTTCCTGGCCCTGTTTCAGTTTGGCTTCCAGCCTAATTAGGGCACACAGAGACTGTGCTAACATACTATCTTTTCCTAATGATGGGCAAAGGTCTGACATCCATAATGCTGCTTCCAAATCCATCATCAGTCTTTGCCTACAGGGACAGTTAGCGATGTGCCTGCCTTCCTTTCTTTGTCACAGGATGTGGACATTGCCTTCTCTCTGCCTTCTCTGTGCCTGGCACTAATGGGAAAGTGAATCTGGACCAAATTCCAAAGTTATTTAGGACCACAATTATTAGGGAAGTAACCTGGTAAGTAAGGACCCAAGTCAGCCCTGAAACGTGGGTAGCATCTCTAGCCAGGCTTCTCACCCACCTCCTCAGTAACAACTGCACTGTGCTCCACTTCATCCTGGAGCCTCAGAAACACTTGTTGCAAGACACGCTTTCTCCCTTCTGCCAAATACTTGTTATTATCTCTCTCTGATCCATGAAAGTCTGCAGTGATTTATGCCTTTGTGAAAATCACGCTGGATTTCTGGTAATATGCCTTCTATGGGCAACCTTTCCAGACTATTCAGACGTTAAAACTAACATAGCATGCAGCTGGCTGCTCACGCACGTGTCAGCCAGATGGAGCACATTACGGGAATTCTCCGAGGGCTGCATGAGCTTCCTATGCCGGGCCAGGTGCAACTCAAGGTGTGGGTACTGGTGTCCAGTGTGGTGCGGGACTACCTTCTCGGGGGTTAACTTGGGCACTGCTAGGGTTTCTGTGGTGGAGGGGCTCCTTTCTACCTGTAAGGTTTGCTGCTTCAGTTTTTTCAGGAAGAGCCCTTTGGAGCGCAATCTCAGGCTTAGCTATTTACTCTGTAGGCAACTGTGGGGAAGGTGCTGTAGGGGATGTGTGAAATTCACTGGGGCTAGTGCTTGCCAATCAGTTCCTTTCTGCAGAAGGAATACATTAAAACCCTGAATGAATCCAAGAAAATCAAGGACAGTGGTGCTTCACAGTGTTTCCAGAAGCTATGCTCTTGATATTAAACTACAAAAAGATTATAATATGCTAAAGAAGTGACAGTCTTGTGCTGTGAAATACATTCAGTATAAAAAAAAATAAATCATCATTACTGTCAGAAGGAATTCCCCAGAAATAACAGACCGTCTCCCTTACACAATTTGCAGTGTCATGAATGAATAGCACGGTAATCCAGCAAAATCCTTACGCTTAATGAGATAATGAAAAGTCACACGGCAGATGGAAAAGCTCTTCTAAATCTCATTAACCTGCCTCTTGGCTTTTCCGATATCAGCGAAAATCAGGAGTAACTCCAGGGGGGCGAGCGCCTTCGCAGCAGGGTAAAATGAGCGCTGGAGAACGGGGAACCTAACCGAGCATCTGGGCTGGGAAGGGGGATGCAGTGGAGAGACACCACATGAATAAGAACTGAAATATCAAAGAGAAGGTAGGCGTTTGCCTGCGATATCTGTACCCACGCAGCTCCGACACGAGCGCCGATCCCCCCCGAAGAAAGTGAGGTAGCCCACGCGCCCTGCCCGCGCTGCGTGGAGCGTTCCCAGACACGCCACCGTTCTTCCTCCTCCTTTTGAAGCCTTTTCTTCCTCAGGTCTGCTTCCAACCATCAAATGCGAGGCAAAAACGCTCCCACGCCGGGGAGGGAGAGGCGCAAAGACGCCAGGCCCCACAAGTTGCTATTTTTAACCAAGCGCCGAACCCTCGAGGGGATCAGGAGCAGGGGAAAAAAAAACAACAAAAAAAAAACCCCAAACCCAACAAAACAACCCCCAAACAGTGTCCTTTAAGTGCAACACTTCAAGGAGATTTTTTGTCTTTCGTTATTATTTTCCCTGTAGATACGCCACCTAGCGCCCGCCGCGCGCGCTCGCCTGAGGTAACAGCGCGGGAAGAGCGGGGAGAGCGGGGCGGGCGGGGGGGACACGGGCACACGGACGGCACCGGCGGTCTTCGGGCAAGGGGCAGCGGCGGGCTGCCTGCCGGGACCCCTTCCCCACCCCACCACCCTCTCCTCGGCCCCGCCGCCCTCCGCTGCTCAGCCGCCCTGGGAGGCGAGCGGGGGAGAAGGAGAAACCCAGGTGTGAGCGGGTCTTACCGTGCATCAGGAGCAGCCCCTGAAGGGCATAGACGGCCAGGGCGGTGCTGGGCCTGGGGACCATCGCCGGTGCCGGTGACTGCTATATCCCTTGCGAGGAGCGGGAAGAGAGGTCCGCGAACCGGGGATAAGTTTTCTTTCCAGCAACAAGTTTCTGAAAGCCTGCGGGGCTGGAGCGGGAAGGGAGGGGAAGAGGACGGCGTGCAGAAGTTCCCACTTGTTGATTCCAGTTAAATTGTTCTTTCCATTCACTGCTTCATCCTTGGGCTGCGGATTTTGTTTTCCTTCCTTTCTTCTCGAGGTGCAAGTTTTTAGGCTTTTTTCCCCCCTCTTTTCACAATAACTTTATTCCTCGTTTCCCCCTGCTTTTCTAATTTGCAGGGTGCCTGGGGGGGAGTGTTACTCTGCCTGAGAAGAGAAGGCTCCCCAGCCCGCCTGAGTGGTGCAAAGCAACTCAAGGGGTTAAATAGCAGAGCGAAGCACCAGAAAAGTTTGGCAAAAAGTTTCCTCCAGTCAGTGAGTCGCTGCTCCGAGCAGTCCTTTGCCTGGAGTTTGGGATAAGGTGGCTGAACGGAAAAGCCTCCTCTTAGACGTATTTATCCAAGGAGGTGCAGGTGCTGCAGAGATGAGGAAGAAGAACAATCTCTCAACTTCAGTGAGTTTCGCAAGGCAGGATGAGAGGGAGCTTCCAGGGCCCCCAGCCTGGCTACCTGCCGGGGGGCACCCCGCAGCGCCCAGGGCAGGCAGCCGGCAGGCAGCGGAGCTTGGGCATGGCCAGATCCCGCCTTAGGTGTTTCCCTTTTCCCCCACGCCTCTGGGTTTGGTTTGGTTTGCTTTCTCTGGGAAGTTTGATGCGAGCCCGAGATTCTTTATAGGGACAGGAAAAAAAAAAAAAAGAGGAAGGAGAGACGTCACCAGCCGAGGCAAGGGGACTTCATGCTCTCTCTCCCTCCCTGTGCTTTCACAGAGCTCCTGGATTTCCTGTTGCTGCTGCTGCTGCCTGAGATGGGGTAAAGATATGAACTGGGTTGTCCCCTGCTGCCTCCCAGCATCCCAGCATCGCCTGTACCTGCAAAGCCAGAGCTGCGTGAGCATCAGGTGGCAACATCTTCCCCAAGTCCTGTCCCCGCTTTCCCCAAAGGCAGAAAGGTGGTCAGGGTGTCACCATCTCCCTCCCGGCTCTGGGGCTCTTGGGACTCCAGGGCACGGGGAAGGGGAGCGCAGAGGGACACCACCCGAGAAACAAGCTCTCTTGCAGGAGTGCTGTCTTTGCCCCCCTTCCCCTGGTTATTTAGCAGTTTGGGGGTCCCTTTACGCTGCTCAGTGTATCCTGCTGGAATGCCACCTCCATCCTCCTTGCCCTGCTGCCTCCCTTCTTGCGGCAGCCACTGCTGTGTGTCCCGTGCTCTTGGGGCACAGCGAAAGTTTCTTGTTTGAATAGGATATTTCAGGCAACCCTAATGGTGTTATTATTTATACGGCACAGCTGCTTCCCTGATCTCTCATGGGTTTCTCATAGCAGCTGCTTCTTTGTCACCTGAGCATTATCTCCAGGCACTTGGGTGTAGACAGATCCTCCCACGCGTCGAGGCTTCCAGCCTGTCCACGTGCCTTTGCTCTTGTCATGCAAGACAGGATTTCAGCAGGGGAGAGCACTCCTGCAATGGTAGGCGACAGCTTGGTTTTGGCAGGGGATGCACAGATGCTTCCCCTTTTGCCTCCGCCCTGGGAGAGCACAGTCTTTTCCTGGTTCAGGGCTGCTCCTTCAGCCACAGGTGCCTCTTGGGCCAGTGCAGCCTCAGCTGCAAGGGTTAAAAACTGTGCTTAGCTAGTGCCAGGCATCCTGGGAGATGTCCTGGTGCACATAAGGGGCACTTCTGGAAATGCAGCTGGCGCTCAGGTGATGGGGAGGGAGCTATACTGTGCTATTGCAATACACATACCAGTTATATGGCTTTTAATGTACACAAACAGCTACACTATGCTGATAATGAGAGAGTGGTGGAAGCTCTACAGCTGCCCACACAGATTGTCATTCCCAATAATGCCATAAATGAGACACTGGGGTTACATGACCTATTACAGACTTAACAGTAAAGCACTGTCAGTCCCCATGGCTGAACGGCGGGGTTTGTTTGTATCTCTTTGTTACTCTTGCTCAGTTCGTTTTCAAAAGAAGAGAAAGACAGCAGGTGCATTAAACCTTATACTATATGTATATTAAGGGGTTTAGTGAAACTGAACTGCGATCAAAGTATTATGAAGTTTTTCTGGCCTTTTTTTAGTATACTTCTAAATTCTTAATGCACATAACAAGTATGTACGCTACATTAAAATGCACTAGAGCAAAGGGAGACATAGGTACGGTTCTGTGAGTTACAAATCCGTACGTTACCCTGCAAGGAAAATGGGCACTTCAGAAGATCAGAATTGATACCCAGTCTAGAAATGTCTCAAATTCAAGCAATAAATTGAACACAGAATAGCCTCAGATATTTCTAGTTTTATGAACAAGAAGCATCATTTCTCATGCACAGTGTTAAATCAGGAATGCTTTTCTCAACATCACATGAAGTCACCAGTTAATACTAATTTTCTTATAAATGCCCAGATCACTCTTAAGATGACAAATGCATTTTCTATGCCTAAAATAAATTTTTAGAACATACGACTTCTCCCAGATCTGTGTGGCAGTAACAGACTTCTAAATAGTTATGGACAATAGTAAAGACCAATCTTTTAGGAAGCTTAACTGAAGATTGAAAATTCTAGCTTAATTATAGAACCGTAGTTTATTTTTTATTTACAGGGATGTGTTTAAGAATTCATTGGAGGTTACTGACCGGCTGCTAGCAAATCACGTTGTATTTGTGTAATGCCCCAAATAATCTTTTATCTGTTGATAAACTTAAATGATCTTTTAATTGAGATTAAATGCCTACAGTGTGTAGTTTCACAAGTATTTTGGTGTGAGAACCTGGCCAAATGGTCCTGAGAACTATTTTTAATTCTTTATTTTCTCCCTCAAAATATGCAAAATAAAAAAGACCGTTTTAAGAATGGTGTGGTTTGTTCCTGAGCATCTTCATATGCCTGTAGCAACCTGTTAGAGCTTTTCCAAAGCATAGCAGACTTCCCTAACACAAGAGCATGTTCTGTTTGTACAGATGGAAAAAGCCATTTGCTAACTGGACTAGAACCTCTTCATAATAGTACAACTTGTTTTGCCGTGACAGCTATTCCATCTGAGGAACTGAAAGCTCCTTACTAATATTAACAAATATCTTAGTCTCACAATACTCGTGGGAGTTGAAGTAGGGCTAGAAAAGGTCATTTCACCTCCTAATGAAATGCTTTTAGCTTTGCAAAGGCAGCTGGCAGTTGTATCAGTATGACCATAACTAAATAAAATAATAATAACAAGGAGGTGAAGATTGCTGCGTCTGGTGGAAATACTAGACAACTGGGATGGAAAGCAATAACCTGTAAGAATTTGGCCAGAATATCAGGGCTATGGCCTCATGCACCATGAAGCGCTAGGACCAAGGAGTGCAGTTTTGCAGGACCAAGGCAGTGTAGTCTATGAGACCTGCACTAACTAGAGACTGACTATGCAACTTGCCTGGCCATCCCTTGGAATATCTTCCATCCTTTATGGCACTGGCCTGACATAGAGGATTACGTGACTTATTAAAAGGGAATAGCTTGGCAGGGGATGATACCAGAGCTGGGAACTCCTTTGCTTTGTCTTGCTCCTCTGTTGGCGTTCATCGTAAGTAAGCATGTATCTAGGAAGCGCAGCAGAGGGAATGGCTGTTGATCAGAGCTGGGCCTGGAATTGCATCCTCCACTGCATGCTGTGTTTAGCCTTAGTCAAAGGTAAAAGGTATCTAACCTAAATGTAGCTGTCCAAATGTTAGGTGCCTAATCTGGGCTAGTTATCGAGGCTGCCCTGCTTAGTGACTGCAGAGATCTCCCGACTCATCCCATGGTGCAAACCTCTGCTTTACAAACCTTTGGCAGGTGCCTGTTTGCGTCCCTCAACAATAGCAGAGGGAAGAGACAAGTTTAACCTATACGCCTAAATTTTAGGTGGCTAATTCTACACTGTGTCTTCAGGTAGAGGCACTTCGACACAAAGACAGCCTTTCCTATCAGCTTGAGGGAGACGGTCCTGACCAGAGGCATGCTCTGCAAAATGGAGTTGTTCTCCAAAGCAGCACTTGCCCCTTCAGTTGGAGAGAGCTGATATGCACAGCTGTGTGCTATGCTAGTGAGTGCTGGCTTAGGCTTCCAGAGCTGAGCTTTGCCTGCAGAAAGAGAAGCAAGCAGAACATCACAATGGATTGAAAGTCACTTTTCTGTGTTAGTGATCTTTGGAAGGAGAGGACAAGGGTAGTGACTGCCTTTAAAGACACTGAGTTGGCAGGCCCGCAGATTTTCATTGCAGTGTGCTGTATCAAGGAGCTCTTTATTGTTTTCCTGAGAGGACCTAGAGGGCTTTTTGGATGGACAGCTTTCCAAGTCCTGTAAATTCAAGCCCCCAGAAGAGGTGGTGGAAACAGGCAGGACATTGCAAATGTGCCTTGCACTTTACTGTGTTGTTCTGGGATAAAACAGTGCATGTCGCATGAATTCAGTTATTATTTATTTGATGTATATGGTGCCTTGGAGGCATACGCTGATGTCCAAGACAGGCAAGGTGCTGGCTACATATGGGTCCCTAAGCCAGTAAACAGAAGTAAAGCCATCACTTCCTAGGGTACACAGTCCAACCTCAGTACCACATCCCCTCACATGGTCAGTAGCATTGCCAGCGGTAGCTGCCTTAATCCTGAGGGGAGCTGCAAAGCCATTGCTGGGTGTGCCTCTCTCCACAATCTGGTCAGGCTGTCTTTTATGTACACACAGCCTCTAGTCCCCTGGGGATCAAAAGACAAGTTAACATTGGCAGTCTGTGAGAAAACAGGGTGGGGAACTTTTTGATGAAAATATTTTTCATTGAAAAATGGCATGTTATCAAAAAAGAAACCTTGTGTGGGAAGTCTTAGGTTGGAATAACTT